TACTGACAAGATTCCCAGGTACACGGGGGCCTTTTCGTCACCTTGAATATCCACAGAGCGGATTACATGAGGATCCACAATGTTCGACCTGGTAGAAGTGTGTCATCAAACCGCACAACATTGGCCTTTGACTGGCCGTGGCGTTACAACACACTCATTCACTTACTTGTATGGGGAACTGAATGTTCATCTTAATTGTTATGGATTATAACGGAATGTGACCCAGAAAACAGGTTGTCATTAAATAAGAATAAATCTATAACAGGATTACCAGAAAAACAAGGTATAACACCCTAGCCAATAAGCTTCCATCAGGAACACCAGAGTAAGTCATTATAAGACTGAAAACTGCCCCATAATTATGTGTGACAGATTAGTCGGGTAGTGCTACATGTGTATTGTGAAAACAAAGTTATTAAATGAAGAGTACAACTGTTAAAAGTTACTAATAAACGTGTATAAGTGTTATATCGTCTCTGAACAAGTAATGACGTATGCTTGTCTTTAGTGTTAACATTCAAATACATGATATCTGTATCAGCGATATTGCGTACGTTCGACTATGAACAATAAAAGGTTATATGAGAGGATGACTCTATAACGGTAACAGGTACTAATGTATATGTGATATGTATATGAGATGACATGGAACAATGAGTAGCACTTACAGTATCTAAAAACTTTTATAATTAATGTCAACAATTCTCTTTATAAGTCATTTTCCTGACTTATAAGTAAATGTAAGAACACAATCGTGCTCAATCGAAAGTATAATTCTGGTCGGTCCACTTCCATACGACTATATAGCATACAATAAGCTTTCGGGCCCCGTTTGGATCGGTTTGGGTGGCAGTCTAGATATAGATATCCATAGAATAAACACAAATATGTCTCAAAGTCCCTGAACCATATCATTTATCTCTTTCGCTCAGCCCTTTCTATAATGCAAAAGGTCTGTATGAAGCAAGTCTAGATTTTCTTAGGTTCATCTCTGAATCTCCTATCTCACTGGGGCTCCTCTTCAATTTAAATGGAGTTTTTTGTTTCCATTATTATATATTTTTGGAGACTGAGCATTAATCTAAATAGACATCAGCAGTTTGGAACTTGACACTTATCTGTTTCACAATAACAGAACATTGTTGACTACATTATAATATTGAGCATCTTCTCGTGGCAAGTTAGTTAACTGACTATAAAAGTCCAGTTTCCACCCTTGCCGAACTAGGCTGGTATTATGGAGTTACATTTTGGCTGGACTAACAAGTCTATGCATAATCAAACCAAAATCGTGCAACGAAATCGAAATCCGGTTCGTAAACTGTCATGCAGATTTCGGTCGATTGCCGGATTTGCAAAGCATGTGCTCCGCCAACAGATATTTTCCCAATCTTTTCATGTTTTAAATCAAGGTGCTCACGCATTGCGCGATGTAAGACCCGTTTTTATCACAACATAGACCATGATTATCGATCAGATCGTCTTGACTGGGCGCCACTGTTTTGTTTGAAGCAAATGCAAGTGATACGAGAGATGGAATCTGATTGGTCTAAAGGAGAGGCTTAGAAGGGACATGACTCGTAATAGCCACTGGCGGCGCTACGATAGAGCCCAGGAATTCCAGCCTAGTTCGGAAACTGGACTTTTAAAGTCAGTTAAATCTCTTGCCTCGGGAAGATTAATATTAAGCAGATCACTGCTTAAGTGGCATGTGCAAATGAGAAAGTGGACGGACCTTAAAATTATTAATAAACAATGTTTCCTCAAGCAATATCGGAAAAATATATTTGCATAAATTATCTAGCAACATACACAAAGGTCACCTTCTACAAAAAATAAATTTTGAAAGCCGTCAAATTATTTAAGTTGATATTAGTTTGCGTATTTGACGATTATATAACTTGCGAAAGTATATATCTTGTGTTAATAATGCACCTACAGTAAACTACGGTTATAACGAACTCAAAGGGACTACTAATTTTAGTTCGTTATAACCGTAGTTCGTTATAAGCATATATTTAGCATAACTACAGCAAATAGTCGGGACAAAAGAGTAAGTTCGTTATATCCGTCAGTTCGTTATAAGCGTGTTCGTTTTAACCGTAGTCTACATCATTTTAATTTATGTAATTACTAGCACCATGCATTCGCTCTAAGAATAACAAAGATTTTGTAAATCTTTGGATTCATTCATTCATTCATTCATTCATTCATACACAGCGAATTGTGTGGCCTTTGTCTACTGGGCCACGCATCCCCCTCTCCTTCCCGGGGCTTTCAGTGACGCCGTATTGATGTAGAAACGAGTCCATCTTGTGTCACTCGCATTTAAATGAAGTGGTTCTTTCAATTCCATGAGCTGACAGTCGCTCATGGCAACATCTGTCAATATTCTGTGACACCATGATTTCCAAATTGAAGAACAGAGGTGAACCCATAAATCAGAAAGTAAATCGGTAAATGACCACACAGGATTAAACTATAGTCAACAATTTCTACTGGAACGCTTAGGTTTACAATGAAAGCAGGCAATACAATGGGTCAAGAAGGTGAATGAACCCACACGTCACAGGCCCTATAATATGTCAGAGCGCTCACGAATTGGGCAGAGGTTTGCTGTTGAATGTTGGAAGCTGGCAGGAATTTGCGTTTTTACATAGGTATCCTATCCGCACGTGGCAAGTAGACAAGACGCAAGCCGGGACATAAAATCCCTCCAACCGCCCTCCTGTAGACTTATATACAATCGCATTAAAAACAGATCTTATTTCTCGCTACCGCTAAACAAAGATCTGAGGACATCCCATTAGGGGTCACGTCAGAACGACCTTTCATCCGATCAATCAGAGCGTCGCTTACCAGATCATGAAAGTGACAGTCGGAATGTGATTTCTAATCATGCAATCTCGAAAACTTTAACACAGGGTATTCCGAACGATAGTTACATGTTTAACGACTGAATCCATACAATCTAGACCATATATTTGCCATTCCAGAATTTTTTAATCGAGAATTTGTCAAAATATGTTTCGAAGCGTAGTCACCAATTTGAAATTAGTGCCGTAAAGCACGAGAAAGATGCCTTCTGATTGGCTAATGTCGACTTCTTGTCAGTCCTTCCATTGGTCGGTCAAAATTCGCGCAAGGTCGGTTTGACGTGATCCGTAATGGGATGTCCTCAGATCTTTGTTTAGCGGTAGCGAGAACTAAGATCTGATTTGAATGAGATTGACTTATAAAGGCACAGCCAGCCTTTCAGAAACTGTCACCTCAATTCACATTTCGCTCGCTCAACCTACACATATTTCGTAAGAGGCGACTAACGGGATCGGGTGGTCAGGCTTGCTGACTTGGTTGATGAATGTCATTGCATGGATCGATGCTCATGATGTCAGTCACTGGATTGTCTGGTCCAGACTCGATTATTTACATATATTATTAAAATACATATACCTGGAGGCTGAGTGCGACGTTGAACAACAAACAAACAAACAAAAATATTGTGTAAACAAATGCAGATTATTCTCTGCCACCGATTACCGTTAAAATCTGTCCACGACAGCGCTCGACATTTTACTAACGCTTCAATCATTTGCTGACCCATAACAATTCGCTCATTCCCGCATATTCGGATATATGAATCAATAACTAAACAGACCACAATTTAAAACAGAAAGTCTTTTGTCCCCAGTTACGATAATGGCAAAGTTATAATCAATACCGGTTTGGGGAAAGACAACGTCACGTTGGCATTCCGGTAGTTTTTTTTGTGTGTCTGTGTGTGTGTTTTTTCGCGCGTGCGTGCAGGTGTTTAACATGATGGTCGTGAAAGGCAACTTTTCCTAAGATGAACGCCATATTTGGCAAGTGACCAAGTATAACCCATCGGTGCCAATGTAGTTGTCAGATTCGGTAACTTGATTGATAGCACGTCATCACGTACGACAGCATGGTTCCTTACTCACTGATCACTGGATTGTCTGGTCAAGAGTTAAATTACATACAGGCCGCGGTCATACAGCTCGAATATTGCTACTGAGTGCGGCGTAAAACAACAACTCAAACCATGAAGACTTGAATTTCTATTTCATTTGCATTCGTTACAAATTTGCATGCATAATAGAAGTGGCTTGGGGCGCATAATCAGCGTTATGCTGGTCGTAAGAGGCGACCAAATTGATCGGGTGGTCAGGCTCGCTGACTTGGTTAATGCAAGTCATCGTATCACAATTACGTGGATTGATGCGCATGATGTCAATCACGGGATTGTCTGGTCCAGACTCGATTATTTACAGACCGCCATCTTATAGCTGGAATATTGATGAGTGCGGCGTTAAACAACACACAAACAGAGTCAGACTGACGACTGTACGATTCCGACTATATGATCAGCATGTGTCTATAATTCACTATCATATAGTCATGATACCAGATATTCGTCCAAAAGGTGAGCGTATTCTGCCCCACTGACATACAAACACGTGATGTTGCACTGACAGACAGTTCACATCTGCTCCACGCAACTTGGCCACTGGGTCGGTGGAAACAATTATCCCATTATCTGTTTGATACGTCGAAACATAGTCGTTTTCCTTTTTCTGCATTAATCCAGTAGAGTTCACAGTCGGGGATACAATATCATTTTATTTATTGATTAAGAACATTGTTGGCGTCCGTAGTGCCACATGTTGGACAATGAAAGGCAGAAATCGTTATTCATAACGCGTCGCTCAAGTTGAACCAAGTCATTTTGTTACCATCCTCGACACGGGCTACGTTGTATCTATCACGAGCCCTTAACGAGCATACGTGCAATCCCACATCTGAAAGTTGAACTCTTACATATACATGGCAGGGGCTTCCTCGTGCCAAATGCAAGCCCCGACCAGATATATACAACGTCGATCTACCTCTGTGGTATACTCACAGATAGCTCTTTGTACGTGCTGGATAAGGGTCAATCGTTTCCATATACCTGCCCCAACTCGGTGTAATGACAAATCAGCTTTAAACCGCTCGTCTCCCAGTGCTCACGTACAACAGGTTACGTGACAAGAGTGCGAGTTTTAAACTTGTTTGTGGTCACTCTCAGCTTTGTTTATAAACACAGCGATTGACAAGATATAAATCGGATTACACAGCGGGTGACCCGAGGCGAGTATCAGTACATGTGTGGTACGGCTGACCGCTTCAGGAAATGTGAAGTTTTGTACGCAATCAACAGCCTATGTGAGTAGCAATTCTAGTTTAATGTCTCAATTTATACACACAATTGCATTTAGATCTATACAAATGGCGTTTCGGAGTAAGTATGACATAAGTTAATATATTTTATTTAGAGGATACCTTTAATCTGATTCGTAATCAATACTGGGACACTGACTTTCGTTCTCTGTGTGGTTGTAATTAATGTTACATTGCACAAGTATAAAATCTGGTCATGATGTTTTCAGTTGTATATATTCTGTTGTGTGTATAACTATATCACAAGCCATGGTATATTTCACCTTCGTATTTCCCCTCAGTCAAGCAGTCGTTATCTGGTCTGACCTGACGCGCCTTTATCTATGTAGGTAAACACTTTAACCCAGGGCTTACTCTTGACGTGTTCACACACTTCAGATCACTCCGAAATATGTCGAATGATTTTCGTAAAACGCCCGATCTATAAATAGAAATATATCACATTTGGCCGGGTCGCGTGTATACAAAAACTGCGTCACACACTGCGTGTTATACTGTGTTACATACTACCTGGACTGCGTGTATATACTGTGTTACACACTACCCGGACTGCGTGTATATACTGTGTCACACACTGCCCGGACTGCGTGTATATACTGTGTCACACACTACCCGGACTGCGTGTATATACTGTGTCACACACTGCCCGGATTGCGTGTATATACTGTGTCACACACTGCCCGGACTGCGTGTATATACTGTGTTACACACTACCCGGACTGCGTGTATATACTGTGTCACACACAGCATGTACATACTGTGTCACATACTGCCCGGACTGCGTGTATATACTGTGTCACACACTACCCGGACTGTGTGTGTATACTGTGTCATGCACTGCGTGTATATACTGTGTTACACACTACCCGGACAGCGTGTATATACTGTGTCACACACTACCCGGACTGCGTGTATATACTGTGTCACACACTACCCGGACTTCCGGAAACTACTACTAATAATAATATCCACGTTTTAATTAAATTCTGTTACCTTCTCAAATGCAGCTGACGCTGTAAATATTTAATATCTAATCCCGCCTTGGTGTGTCAGCAGGCAGATGGTGGAGAGACAGGTGGCGAGATCGTACATCGTACATCCAAGCTCACCTCGAGGTTTTGCGTTGATACAGTGCCCTCGTATATGTCCGTGACCTCGACGATGAGTGAGTGAGTGAGTTGGGTTTAACGCCGCTTTTAACATTATTCCAGTTATATCACGGCGTGTCAGCTTAATGTGGGAGGAAAGCCCGAAGTGATGCAGGTCTCAGACGTTTACCACTTCGGTGAAACCCACGAGCACGGGTATGGTGCTGACAAACCTAGAAACATAATTTGGGCGAACCGGGATTCGAACCCACAATCATAGGTTTCTTGCGTGTCCAAGGGACGCAACTCTGCACAGCGAATCGCGGCGCCTTAGACGACTGGGCCACCCTTGCCCCCACCTCGACGATGAATGGAGACAGTGGACTGCTTGTTTTACGTCACGTGTAAGATTATGACACTTATATAGCAACGTACATGGTACTGGTCCGGACTGATGCCAGTTGTATTTCACTAGCATACAGAGATACCATGCCGCAGTTTACCATGGATACCACACACAGACACAGTATATCCGCTTAATACTGAGCCATGCAGGGTAACAAGAAGTACCCTTTTTTAACGTCTTTTGGTCGGAGATCGAACAACCGACCTTCCGCACACAAAGTGTTGACTCTGACAGTTTAGGTTCGAATCCCGGACGGGACTCAACCCAAAAAAGTACGAGAATCTTGACAGTTGGTTTGAAGTCACTGTACGGGATAAGTAGTGGAGATAACTCCAAATGCTCAGTTTGCTAAATATCACAACTGTCAGTCGCTTAGTAACCTTAAGAAGAACATCCTGCGAGTTATCGGCGGTACACAACCACACGTAACGGCCGTTGTTGACTTGACGCGCTTCACGTTGAGCGGCATGCAGTCCGATATTTTCTTTGTAATGTTGTCATTTTGGAAATCTGATCATAACTCTTTGCTTTTTATGAACTACAAACACACAAGAACCTTAATTTCTGATAGGTTTAATTAAATATAAACAAAAACAATCTAGGTCGTGACATCATCGACTAGATGAAACGGACATAATCATGACAAGGGATGTAAACACCCACCCCTATATGCACCGCGATGCCGTCATTCCATAACATTCAATTTTTAATAGTTAACTTAATTTTTCTAAATAAAAATGCATAGATTTATCAATACACAATGCCTTTAGAAAGTGGTCAAATGTACCCCTGGCAGTGTGGGTTCGAAACCCGGACGGAACTCAACCCCCAAGAGTACGAGAATCTGTACTTTAAGTGTTATCTAAAGTATAACATTAATTACATTTGACCACTTTCCAAATGGCATTGTGTATTCATAGCTTTCGGCCATGAGAGCCGAGCCAATCTACACTTGTCAGAGGGGTACACAAAGCACGCGATCTAGACTTCCAGTTGTCAGACTTTCATTTTTGTGGAAGCCTCGGTGGCTGAGTGGGTCAGATCGCTGACTTTGTCCCTCACTCTGGCAGTGTGGGTTCGAATCCCGACGGGAATCAACCCAAGAAAGGACGAGAATCTGTACTTTACTAAGAAAGTGTTATCCCAAATAAAACATTAGTTACATAGATTTATCACTCTTTAAAAAAATCTACTATTTGACGAGTTCGTAATGGTTTCGTAAGATAAACTCGAAGTTTTTCGAAAATTCGGATAGCGAGGGGATGACGATATTTTCGGGGTCCATGCTGAGAATTTGAAAGAAGTGGACAATTTGGACACTGAAGGCACAGGAGAAGACAGAAGAGGACCCCTCAGTCGGAGCGAGCGAAACACCGTGGTTTTGAGATTTTGTCGACCGATCGGGGCCTAGAACTATTGGTGAAAATGTTAGTGATGCCCTCTCACCTTTGCCAGTGATGAAGTGTGTGATTTGCTTGTCACTGAAACCAACAGGTGTGCGGCTCAGTTTATAGCTGATAAGATGGACACGTTGAAAGTACATTCACGTGTGAATAATTGGAAAACCGTTGACACCTCCGAAATGAGGGCTTTCATTTCTATCGTGTTAGTGATGGGCCTGTCAAAGAAACCATCTTGTGAATCCTGTTGGTCAAGTGACCCACTAACTGAGAGTAAAGGGTTTAAATCTATCAAGTCCGGGGATAGATCTATACCGATTCTGATGTGTTATTTTCCAGTTAATGGCAATGCCAAAGACTTGCCCAAAGAGGATCCAAGACAGGTCAAATTATTTAAAATGAGACGTCTGATGACAATTCTTTAATCAGGATGTTGACGAGAGTATTATTGTATACAAGGGTCGAACAGGTTTGCTGCAATATATGCCAAATAAACCACAGAATTGGGGAACAAGTCATGGGGTCTGGCAGACAGGAGGGCCGGGTTCATGTGGAACTGGCAGGTTTATACAGGGAGACAGGGAGGCAGCAAGGTTTGACGTATGAAGTTGTTACATCATTGTGTGAACCACTGTACATCTTCCCGAGGCAAGAGAGTTAACTGACTTTAAAAGTCCAATTTCCACCCTTGCCGAACTAGGCTGGAATTCCTGGGCTCGATCGTAGCGCCACCAGTGGCTATTACAAGTTATGTCCTTTTCTATGCCTCTCCTATTGGCCAATCAGATTCAACCTCTCGTATCACTTGCATTTGCTTCAAACAAAACGGTGGCGCCCAGTCAAGACGATCTAATCGATAATCCAGATCTATATTGTGATAAAACGAGTCTTACATCGCGAAGTGCATCAAATCACATGAGCACCTTGATTAAAAATATGAAAAGATTTAGAAAATATCTGTTGACAACGAGTTAGCGATGCACATGCTTTGCAAATCCTGCAATCGACCGAAATCTGCTTGACACTTTACTAACCGGATTTCGATTTCGGTGCGCGATTTTGATTGGACTATGCATAGACTCGTTAGTCCAGCCAAAATGTAACTCCATAATACCAGCCTAGTTCGGCAAGTGTGGAAACTGGACTTTTATAGTCAGTTAACTCACTTGCCTCGGGAAGATGACCACTGTATGGTAAGGGTTACCATTTGACCATGGAATGTTTTTCACTTCTCCCACTTTTATTCAGGTTCTATCTGACAAGCGGCAATGAAATATCCTTGTACATCACATGGTCTGATAATAGGAAAGAAAGCCCCTTGACCAGTGTTCACAATGGCTATTGTTTTTGTTTTTTGAAAGAGTAGGATCTAAGTCTTCACCAAACTGCTTCAGGGAAGTAAGAAAGTCCAAAGCGGTTCAGTACAGTCACACATGGGAGGCGTGGACATGGGCCCCGTCGCACAAAGCGATCTTAGCACTAAGGTGATCGTAACTCCCATACTTTAACAGAGGCTTCCGATCATCGTAGCGCTAAGATCCCTTTGTAGAACGGGGTCCTGGCAGACAAACAGCTGCAGTATTATATCGTGCTCCGCAGGTGTTGTAAGTCATGGAAAAGGGTGTTTTTGTACCTCATGGAACTTTCTTTCATTAATGCACTTTTCAAAGCTGCAAACCGTGGTGAGAGGGTCAATTCTGAGAAATTAAGATTGGTCGTTGCAACAAAATTCCTGGAGGGATACGAGCGACTTAAATGTGGAAAACCTGGGCGTCCCGCAGCCATCCTGGAACGTTCTGCAGCCACCCTGGAACGTCCTGCAGTCATCCTGGAGCGTCCTGCAGTCATCCTGGAGCGTCCTGCAGCCATCCTGGAGCGTCCTGCAGTCATCCTGGAGCGTCCTGCAGTCATCCTGGAGCGTCCTGCAGTCATCCTGGAGCGTCCTGCAGCCACCCTGGAACGTCCTGCAGTCATTCTGGAACGTCCTGCAGTCATCCTGGAGCGTCCTGCAGCCACCCTGGAACGTCCTGCAGTCATTCTGGAACGTCCTGCAGTCATCCTGGAGCGTCCTGCAGCCACCCTGGAGCGTCCTGCAGCCATCCTGGAACGTCCTGCAGTCATCCTGGAACGTCCTGCAGCCATCCTGGAACGTCCTGCAGCCACCCTGGAGCGTCCTGCAGCCACCCTGGAGCGTTCTGCAGCCATCCTGGAACGTCCTGCAGTCATTCTGGAACGTCCTGCAGCCATCCTGGAACGTCCTGCAGCCATCCTGGAGCGTCCTGCAGCCATCCTGGAACGTCGTGCAGTCACCATGGAACGTCCTGCAGCCACCCTGGAGCGTCTTGCAGCCACCCTGGAACGTCCTGCAGCCACCCTGGAACGTCCTGCAGCCATCCTGGAACGTCCTGCAGTCACCCTGGAGCGTCCTGCAGCCACCCTGGAGCGTCCTGCAGTCACCCTGGAACGTCCTGCAGCCACCCTGGAGCGTCCTGCAGCCACCCTGGAGCGTCCTGCAGCCACCCTGGAGCGTCCTGCAGTCATCCTGGAACGTCCTGCAGTCACCCTGGAGCGTCCTGCAGCCATCCTGGAACGTCCTGCAGTCATCCTGGAGCGTCCTGCAGCCACCCTGGAACGTCCTGCAGTCATCCTAGAGCGTCCTGCAGCCACCCTGGAACGTCCTGCAGTCATCCTGGAGCGTCCTGCAGCCATCCTGGAACGTCCTGCAGCCACCCTGGAACGTCCTGCAGCCATCCTGGAACGTCCTGCAGCCACCCTGGAACGTCCTGCAGCCATCCTGGAACGTCCTGCAGCCACCCTGGAACGTCCTGCAGCCATCCTGGAACGTCCTGCAGCCACCCTGGAACGTCCTGCAGTCATCCTGGAGCGTCCTGCAGCCACCCTGGAACGTCCTGCAGCCATCCTGGAGCGTCCTGCAGTCATCCTGGAGCGTCCTGCAGCCACCCTGGAACGTCCTGCAGTCATCCTGGAACGTCCTGCAGTCATCCTGGAACGTCCTGCAGCCACCCTGGAGCGTCCTGCAGCCACCCTGGAACGTCCTGCAGTCATCCTGGAACGTCCTGCAGCCACCCTGGAGCGTCCTGCAGCCACCCTGGAACGTCCAGGAGCCACCCTGGAACGTCCTGCAGCCACCCTGGAGCGTCCTGCAGCCATCCTGGAACGTCCTGCAGCCACCCTGGAGCGTCCTGCAGCCACCCTGGAGCGTTCTGCAGCCATCCTGGAACGTCCTGCAGTCATTCTGGAACGTCCTGCAGCCATCCTGGAACGTCCTGCAGCCATCCTGGAGCGTCCTGCAGCCATCCTGGAACGTCGTGCAGTCACCATGGAACGTCCTGCAGCCACCCTGGAGCGTCTTGCAGCCACCCTGGAACGTCCTGCAGCCACCCTGGAACGTCCTGCAGCCACCCTGGAGCGTCCTGCAGCCACCCTGGAGCGTCCTGCAGCCACCCTGGAGCGTCCTGCAGTCATCCTGGAACGTCCTGCAGTCACCCTGGAGCGTCCTGCAGCCACCCTGGAGCGTCCAGGAGCCAAGCTGCCGAAACCCGGTCACCTCACCTGGTTTGTGACCTGTGTGCTGTGCATATGACCACTTGCAATTGCGAATATCCTATCGCATTCAGGAATGCATGAACGCCACTTCGAAACAACAAATTTTTCACGCTCATTTTCGCGCCCTGTTGTGGAGGGTGGTCATTGCCTATAGGCGATAGCTGTAGACGTATTGCGTTAGACACAATTATTATAGTAAAAACAAGTCATCAGCCTACCCCACACTTACAAGAATAATATCGTTATTTGAACTTAAAACAAAAGGGTGATCTTTAAATCAACAAAACTTCAAATGAAGATACTGAGAAACTTGCCTGTGTCATGTTGACATATAGCTACGGATATCCACTACGGTTTCCGTGTCACGGGAGAATACACGGTCCAGCCGGTATAATAATATGCCACTCATATAGTCAAAGTCACATTATTTCTAATGAGTGTATATTAATTATATCCTGTAGTGATCTGTGTTTTTAGTGGGTGGGACAGACGAAATATTTCCAAATTAAGTGACATATTTTTTCAACGAATGATATCAGCTTTTAAATTAAAGATATCGGAGATATGAGAATTGCAATCAGCACAAACTTAACAATTTAAACATGTTCCTAATATGAAACGCATTCACATTCAATAACGTGATTCAGGTTAATTCATGAAAATATACATGTTTTACCTCTGTATGTTTGAAAATGTCAGGATATTTGTTTCATGATAATGTGTATTTTTTATCCGGAATTAACGTGCGAAATATTGCTTCATTCAGCCCGTGTTTAATGAAGCATAGACTGTTTGAAATCACCCACCCTCTTTACAGCGCCTTGTGCTACACTTAATCCAGGGCCAAGAAATGGGGAAACAATTCAGCAGCTGAAACCAATCCAGCGTCACATATCCTAAACTGATGCAGGTGATACATCATTATCACTTCAGTGAAACCCACGATCACGATCACGATTTCGACCCACTGTCAGCGGATCCTGACACAACTAATCAACGCAACTCTGTCAACGCTTGTGCTATACCAGCCTCGTGTCGATTTGCTAGAAATCGATTGTAAATATCTTGGTTAGCAGCAGGGAATGATTAACCCCAGCAAGGTCAAATAATACCACATGCAATATTAATAATATCGCCCATATTCGTTAATTTGATATGGGAAAGACCCGCGATGATCCGATGAGAATAGGTCTTCAGCAACCCATGCGGTAAAAGGCATCTATGCTTGTCGTTAGAGGCGACTAACAGGGTCGGGTGGCCAGGCTTGCTGACTTGGTTGATGCATGTCATTATATCCGAATTGCGTGGATCGATGCTCATGATGTCAACCACTGGATTGACTGGTCCAGACTCGATTATTTACAGACCGCTGGAGTAGTGCTGCGTGCGGCGTTAAACAACAAACAAACAATGGTAAAGTTCATTTACAATGCGTTTAGGTTTAATTTGATACAAATGTGCGATCGATCGGTCTCATCAATGCTTCGCTTCCCCATTTTGCGAAGCCCGATATTGTTACTCATGTTGCGTGGTGAAACAATCAGGAACCAGCTCTCTATTTCTTCCTGCGAGACCATGTCACTGACTACCCTCAACACGCATGGTCTCACTTGAACCAGACCGAAACGACATACAAAGAGACAAAGACTCAATACTCGTCTTATTTGAGAGACAGACTTCACTCGCAAACATATGAACCGACCTCGCATGCTTGTTTCGTTGTAGGAGGAGGCACAAACTCGACAGCAGGGCCTTTCCCTTTGACGCAGAATAGCGAATCCTCAGCGACCGTGTTTGGAGTTGTAAAGCGGCGGGGTGGAAGGGTGCATGTCTTGTCCCCTCAAGCGCCGCCCGAAGGGTCGGCATGGGGCTGTGGAGCAGCAAGGAGGGGCTGTTACATGAAGCTACCCGGGGTGGAGTTACGGAGACTGTTACTCGTCTACTGGATGCAGGCGTGTCAGTAAGTAGGACATGTTGCCAATCAATACAACTCGACATCACCTTGCACGAGTCGTTACACGCCACGAATGTAGCATGTTTCATGGTAAAGTTGTTTATTAATACACATTTTGTTAACTGTAATATAACTTAAAAACACCGTTGATAAATACACGGAATAGGAAAATATCATAGACAAGAAAAAATACATGTATGATCCATTTTTTTACCTTTCAAATGAAAGCTTCCTTATTGTGATATTTCTAAAGGTGTGAAATACAATTACATTTACAAATTTCCAACACTTTGTAGCTGTATGTTGCTATGCAACGGCTCGGTGTTTATCGTTAATCGGGATTATATCGTGTATGAATATATTTCCAGTTTACATGGGAGATCGGGGTAGAATAGGTCTTCAGCAACCCATGCTTGCCATAAATGACAACTATGCTTGTGGAAAGAGGCGACTAACGGGATCGGGTGGTCAGGCTCGCTGACTTGGTTGATGCATGTCATCGTATCCCAAACGATGTATCCCGTGGAACGATGCTCGTGACATCAATCACAGGATTGTCTGGTCCAGACTCGACTATTTACAGACCGCCGTCATATAGCTGGAATATTGTTGAGTGCGGAGTTAAACAACAACAAACAACAAACAAACAAATCAACAACACTCCACTTAAACTCTGCTGATCTACGGGCACAAAATCAACTACGACAGAAAGTTTTTTCAAGTGTGTTTTAAATAAACCATATTGTCAAACCTCTGAAATGATGATGAAATATTCACCACACGCTTGGAAGATAAAGCAGGTATATCTGGGTTCACGGAGAGCTATTGTTATGTGATAATAGATACATAGAGGTTATCATGCGAGTGTTTTTGAGGATGGTTAATACCCTGTATTAGGTATATACATTGTATTTCGCGACTACTCATCCCACGGCCTGCTCTAGTCCCGACAGTGGTATATATGGTATATAAGGTCGGGCGATGTTACTACAAATCTATGGAAACCTGTTTGACTACTCCATTATAGTGAGTCTGCAGTTTGATAGTCATAGGTGTCGGATTGAGAGTTTGTGAAAAATATGAGCATGAACATTGTTCAGAGTTATAGTGCGTGTCTGTGCCTGCTTGTCCCGGGTGGAGTGCTCGGCGATCTGAGCAATGCATATGTATACATTACAAGTCTGGGGTCCCTGATGAGATGGGTGTGAGGTGACAGACAGTTTTGAGGGGTTTAAGGCATATCGGTGACGGATAATTTGAGTTGAGCTTTGAATTTTATTTAGTCTTGGGATTATTTTTGTAATTCAGGTGTGTTTGTGTGTGTGTGTGTGTGTGTGTGTGTGTGTGTGTGTGTGTGTGTGTGTGTGTTTGTGTGTGTGTGCGTGTGTGTGTGTGTGTGTGTGTTGTTTAGTATGTGGTTAGTCGGCTGGATCAACGCTTGTCTACTGGGTATTGCATGTGTTGATAATGATATACTTTAATTACATTCTTACCATACGAGAGAGGTAGGCTCTGTTATTGCGCACTCACTCCATAATATCTCAACAATATTACCAACTGTACTTTTATCGAACCATGCTTCAGTCGTTTGTTTGTGAGAAGCCATTTCGCTTTTGTAAGTCGGCAACAGCAGAGTGTCTTGATCACTGCATAATGTATTTCGCAACATGAACTGTGAGGAAATCGACACGAGCTGTTCATATTATAATACCGATCTGTTGATTTCGGAGCTATATTGCCAGATGACTGACACATTACACAATAAGCGACTCAGCGAGTTGCAAATATTACTGTTTGTTGGGTGGATGGACTGTACTCACAGACTGAGGAGGGATGAGGTAGCCTACAAGTTAGAGCGTTCACCGGTTCGTCACGCTCAAGCACTGGGGGTCGGTTTCCGCACTGTTAAGCCCATTGTTATTGTCACCCTAGTGATATTGCTGGAATATTGCTAAAACTAGGACAAACCCCAACTCACCCACTTTTCGCAGATTGGAAAAATACATTAAATATTTTGTAAAAAATCAATATATTATATACAAACTTACATGTGGTTCACAGCGTTGTCAGTGATGAATCATGATTGTTTACTTGCTTCGTGTTGCTCGTGGCTCTAATATCTGTGACTGGATTGTCTGGTCAGACTGGACAAACATTATATTATGTCTTTATTAATTGTCTGGTTGTTTCCAGACCGCTTCCCATGGCAGGAGTTCTGCTCTGTGGCATCAGGCAACAGAAACTAACTGTTTTATGCAGATTGTGTGAATGGCGGGTGCTACTGGTAGGGCAGGGCATGCCTTCGCTTTTCACGAACACCAGGTGTCATCACTGATTTTCACAACTATTTTGCCATTTACGTCAAATGGAGTTTCGGCGGATATGCAGAGCTCCAGATAAGCTTTTGGTGTTGTGGGTATTTTACCCATGCATTTTAAAATCATTGGGTATCAGTAATTCTATCTGCGTATTCAAATTTCTGTTACCCACTAGTTTTTACACATGTGGGTATTTAAGTTAAATATTTAAAACACTATTCATCTAGTCCCTGCAAACTGGTGCCGTGTGGGTTCGAGAGCTTTATAGGACTCAAACATACCACGATACTTCCACAAGAAAGTGTGATGGCAAATGATCATGATCTGACTGTCATCGTGGAGTTTGGCAAGGTTGACGGAATGCCAACTTATAATTTCAAAAATAAGTTGCTCATTTGCTAATCGAATACGCAGGGTTACTTCACAATATTTTGATGATACGCACAAGTTTTATTTGTGTAGCGTATCTGTAATGTTCGTTGCGTATTTGATACGCTTGGATTATATTTTACTGCGTATTTCTGCATTTCTGATGCGTATTTCACGCAGATACGCAGCTTATCTGGAGTTCTGATATGTCCGATTGGTTATTCTCTTGCATTGATATTGCATACGACATACATACATACATACATACATACATACATACATACATACATACATACATACATACATACATAATACATACATACATACATGTTGTTGGTTTCACTATCTGACAGAGCAAAGTTCGAATCTCCTCTAAAAGATAACCATCTCTGTATTTCCTTTGAAATTTAATACCTATTGAGTCCTGAATATCTGAACTGCCAGAACATGACCTCCAACTTTACATCGGGGGTCGATGTTTGTTTGCGGTGTAATTTGTAACCAGGTTTCAACGGAAAGGCCCGCACGAGTAACCCTTATCTTCAGTGATAGTTGGTTCGACTCCTAGACCCGCCTAGATCAGCACCATTCCCGTCCTCGGGACTTTCAACAAAGTGGTAAACGTTCACTTGCTCCTCAGCGGGAGTCCCTCGTTTGTTACACCGATTTGACATGCCCCGTGTAGCTCAAATGCCCTTCACATCTGCGGTAATATTAATTTACTTAACGCGGGTAGACACTCTGGTATTATCGTTAGTATTATTAAGTGTGTTTAATGATACGTGAACTATACCAAGTATTCGTATTTACCGCCTTTCGGGTAAATATATTTCTATTAGTAAAAGGACTTCGTGTATGATGAGACCTCTCTCCACCTCATCTCATTGTCATCCATACAGTGAAGTGTTTTTTGTTGCTCTTCCCTGTAAACATTCTTTTTATACTTAAGTGTGAACGACTGAAGTTTCTGAAGTTTAGAAAAGTGATATTTTTATAGCAGTAACAGAAAAGTGATATTTTCATAGCAGTGGCAGAAAAGTGATATTTTCATAGCAGTGACTGAAAAGTGATATTTTCATAGCAGTGACTGAAAAGTGATAATTTCACTGCAGTGAAAATAACACATTGCCGGAACTACCGGTAACGAAGTGGTTGATACTGCGACCAACGCCCACGGTACAATGACACACGGTACAGTGACACACGGTACAGTGACACACGGTACAATGACACACGGTACAGTGACACACGGTACAGTGACACACGGTACAATGACACACGGTACAGTGACACACGGTACAGTGACACACGGTACAATGACACACGGTACAGTGACACACGGTACAGTGACACACGGTACAATGACACACGGTACAGTGACACACGGTACAGTGACACACGGTACAATGACACACGGTACAATGACACACAGTCACTCATCGTAACACGTTGTTATTTTGACTTTCTTTCAGGTGAACAGTTGACATGCCTTTGTATGTGTTTGTGATGGGTTGGGTTGGATACGCTCACCTTTTCTCAAATACCTGGTGTCATCACTATGTAGTAGTGATTCATAGACACATTCTCATGATGTCTGAATCACGCAGTGAGTCTTAGTAGCATATTCTCGAGGCTTGGAGCTAACTAACTATAAAAGTCCAGTTTCCAACCTTGCCGAACTAGGCTGGAATTATGGCGTTATATTTTGGCTGGACTAACGTGTCCATGCATAGTCCAATCAAAATCGCGTAATAAGATCGACATGTGGTACGTGAACTGCCGAGCAGATTCCGTTCGTTTGCAGGATTTTCGAAACATGTGTACCAACAACTTAGCCTCGACAGATATTTTCCAAATCTTTTCACGTTTTTTCATCAAGGTGCTGACGTGATTTGATATACTTCGCGAGTTAAGACCCGTTTTATTACAATATATACTCAACAACAAAAGTTTCTGTGACACCAATATTTTAGTGTATTTTTCAAACAAGTAAAGTTTGGTTTTCAATATTAAAGTACATGTATGGAATCAAGTCACAAAAACGCAACTGCTACAGAAAGGCATGCATTCCATGCAAAAGTTGACTTTTATGCAAGCCCCATGCATTTCACTACCCAAGAATGGGTATAAAAACATGTGCGTTGACTGGATTCCATATGCATTGTTTAGCATCGTGCTGACAACAACCACTCAGAAAAACATAAGAATTACGCAATTATTCAACATTACGAAATGCCACGCTTGTCCGAAAATGAGCGTCTGCGAGCCATTGGTATGCTTGAAGCAGGATCGAGTCAACGTGATGTTGCAAGACAATTT